AGTTGACATAAGTATTTCTCACACTAAATTAAGACAACACGTCCAAAGAAAAGCATGTCTTGAGCTGTTTCACTGAAATTTCCCACAAAATAAGAAACCAAAAGCTGTTTACACATTTGCCTTAAAAGAAGTAGAGTAATTATGTTAACTGATTTATTAGTATATGAGGTTCTTTGTCCAATTATTAAAAGCACAAAGAGATCAGGGAGCAATTTAACTGTCTTATGCACCTCAAAGTCTTTTTTTTTAAATGTTAATTATAAGTCTAAGCAAAGCTATTCAAGATAGGCCCCTTAGGTTTTATGCAGGTTAAAATAAAATAATCACAATAACATTACCTCATTGGCCAGATCCAGGAGCACTGGGGCAGCTCCATTTTTCACCACTCCATTCAGGTACCTAGACAAGACAAAGCCAGGTGGTAATGCAGTGACAAGAAAAGGCCAGCATAGGCTTGTCAGCATCTCCTGTGTGTACTTTTCTCCTGGGCAAACGCCACATTCAACTCAAGTTCAGTTATACCATTGTCACAGAAAAGCACTGAAGGGAAAAGGATAACAAAAACAACTTTCCTTAAAGCCAATGGCAACAACTGAGCTGAACTTGGAGCAGGAGGCATGAGCACCCTACTTCCCTAGTTTCCAATACACAAAAGTGATTCCTAAAAAATTATCCATCTCACTCTGATTTTGTCTATACTACATTCATCTCACTGAAAGGAAATAGCTTACTCTCATAATTTGGAAATAGCGTATGTCACCGTTTCTGTTTATGTTTGTCTCAGATTTCTTGAAACCTTACTTGGGGGGGAGAAGGGAGTGGAACAGACTTGCCATCAGTAGGTTAGCACATCTTTATTAGGCAAGACCTTCTAGTTCTCTCCATCCCCTGGCAAGAAAAGGAAAACTAAACTCCGAAATCCATCCCGGTATGGGAACCTGGATGACAGCTTTAAAGCAAAAATTTGAGTGTACCTATGTCCTTTTAAAATACTTGAGAGGGACTGGAGCCATAGCATGGTGGGTAGGGTGTTTTTGTGCATGTGGCCGACTCGGATTTGATTTCCAGCATCCCATATCGTCTCCGGAGGAGCGCCAAGGGTAACTCCTGAGTGCCTGAGCCAGGAATGACCCCTGTGCATCGCTGGTATGACCCAAAATGAAAATAAATAAATAAAACAAATAAATAAAGTAAAATAAAATAATTAAGAGACAGCCATAAAATAAAGATTTTAAATTATAACCACTTAACTACTCTTGAAAGGTCCTTCCGAATCTGGTTCCTTCCTAACACTGTTTCTCAAGCTTCATCTTTAGTCACTGATCCTCAGTGGGAAAAACCTTAATCCAGCTTGTATGTCACCTCCTAACTCATCACAATCCAGGAGTAGGTGTCCATCATGTGTAATCATGGAATATTGTACATCTATCACTTAACAGAGCACCATATCTGTCCCTCTCAACTCAGTCCTCATTGAGATGCTGAAAGCACTGCAGGTGTTAAAAAATTGTATTTTATTCACTTACTATACCTAGTATATTTCTAGGCTTAAAATACATTCTATTTTTGATGAATAGATAAATTTTTAATTATATTGGGTAATAAAATGGGTTAAGGTAATAAATAGTTTCTCTAATATATACTCGAGTGAGACAATTCCTAGGTTTGAGAGGAAAAACTCAAAGTTAATGGATAAGCGTTCCACATAACTCTAAGAAGCAGATACTGAATTATATTATTTAACAAATATACTTATATACTTATAAGGACATAATTTTCCTATATATACAGAAGGATAAAAACTATTTAAAGTAGGAAAAGTCAAAGGTTAAAAGTTAACAAATCAAAAGTCAAAAGTTATAACTTTAGTGCAATTCTAATTAACGTAATTCCACGTAAAATACTAAAATTCTGTATACCGGGGCCTTTTCTTAATTTTTTATTGTTTATCCCTGAGAATAGACATGTAGTCAAAAAAAGTAATTTAGGGTCCAGGAACAGCCTTGCATGTAGCCGACTCGGGTTCAATTAGTCTATCCCTCACAGAGAGCCTGCAAGCTACCCATGACGTATTCGGTAGGTCAAAAACAGTAACAAAGTCTCACAATGGAGTTACTGGTGCCCACTTGAGCAAATAGGTGAACAACAGGAGGACAGTGTTACAGTGCTATGGCATATATAGTATATGTCTCACGTATGAGAGGTCCTAGGTTCAATTCATGGTACATACTCATGCCCTAAAAAAGAAAGTCCTTTTTATTATTAATTGTATTATCCTTATTCTTTTATTTGAGAACTGTGATTTATAATACTATTAGTGATGGTTTCTTAGGTACATAATTCCAAAACTGCATTCATCACCAGTGTACCCACTTTCCTCCCCAGTGTACCCACATGCTACTGCGGCTTTTTTAAAGGGGGGCTTCCTAGTACATGGTGCTCCCTGGGAGCCAATCACTACATTACTCAATCCAATGGTGCAGATCTGATGATTACTGGGTCTTCCTATTTACTTATTTTCTTTTGTTTTTAGGGGATTACATATGGCTCAGCTCTTACTCCTGGCTCTGCTCTCAGGGAACACTCCTGGCAGGGCTGGGGAAACCATATGTGGCACTGGGGATTGAACCTGGGCCAGCTACATGCAATGCAAGAGCCTTACTTGCTGACCTATTTTTCACTCCAGTCCCTTAAGGGTTTCTTAAGTAATGTATGTAAGAATCTAATTGGGAAATAAGCACTTTGAGGAAAAAAAAATCAGGAAAAACAGAAAAAAAGACAGTGTGGCTTAGAACAAAAAGTTCCTGAGAAATGGGTCAGCTAAGAAGCTCACATTAAATTACAACATTTTCATTGCATCAGTAATACTGCTCAAGAAACAACAGATTGGTAGAGTTAAGATGGACCGACTAATGGTGTGCTACAGAAGTGCATATTCAGTAACTGAGTTCCTTTCTGGGTGACAGTAATTAAGTCTGTACTGATACTAATCTATCTTTACAACATTCTACATTATATTAATTTATCCCATGAATATTTCTGATAGTTTACTATGTGTTGGGTCTTATTCCAGATTGTAAAGCAGCAGCAGCGAACATATTTTTCAATAATTCCTGCCATCACAAAGAAGCCACTACAGTGGAATACAAACTATGATGACGGATGCCATGATAAAATGTAAAGTTCAAGAAATAGGAGACAAAAACCCGTCTAAAGAAGTCGTCCTTGAATAGAGACCTGCAAGAAAGAAAGCTATTAAGCCCAGGGGATGAAGAACATTCTTCCAGTAAGTGAGCAGGAGGGGCAAAAAAGTTGGGAACCTGTATGAGATGCCGAAGTACTCAGAAAGGCTTTTGTGAGAAAAGAGTAGAGCTAGTGAAAGATGACTGTAAATAACAATGGAGTAGCTAGACTTCAGATCACTGCCAGTGCCAGACCTGTTTGTTGGATACAGTAAACATTTTCCTGGTAATGACAAATGGAATACTGTTATTAAGTTTCAAGGAACAGGAGATAGTCAAACAATAAGCCGCCCACTCTAATTGTAGAGTCTATAATATTTGAAGCACATTCATGCTTAATACAATGCAAAGATCTAAGTTAGAGCTTGATAAAGCTTCCCAGTTGGTCATTTAAGAAATCAAAGGCCCATGTATTGATGAAACCCATCCGGTCTCTCTTGGTAAGTAAGCAGGAAACCTCAGAAATGAACCCCTAATCTCCCACGGCCTACTGAAGTACTTAGGTTAAAAAGGGAAGAGAGTCTACTGAATACAATTATTTGAATCCCAACTACATCCTATAACATTTAAGAAGTACTAGGAAAAGAAATTAAGTTAAAATTAATTTGAACATTGTGGAGCTCATGCACAATTCAATCAGCCTAATCAGTGGCTGAATAAATAGCAGTACTCCTACATAAAAAAAGTTAATTTGAAGATATATTTGCTCTTTCTAGGATGTTAGTTCCTGCCAAGTGACAGATCAGTTTTATTAAAATGTTCAGACACAAAATCAAAGGAATATGTTAATACCAAAATATTCAGGAAGAACATAATCAGAAATTCCCAATGCTGCTCTTCTTTGCATCCACAAAGCATCTGTGTGGACCTAGAAATAGCATTTTTCATAGTTATAATGATTAGCATCTCTCTCCATAGAGAAGTTCAGTAGGGTAAAGCTACTCAAATGAACAACTCTTTGTCCAATAAGTCCTCAGTCAGGATCGAAATGTAATTGTGATTAAAGTTTGTGGTACTGAACAATACATTAAGGTGACCTGGGCTATCTTCCTGGTGCTTATTTGCAAATTAAAATTACTTTGCTCTATATTATCCTCAAGCTTTGCATGGAACTAACAGACAGATAGCTGAGACATCCTCCAAAAGATCGTAATAACAAATATATAGCTGAAACATCCTCAAAAGATCATAATAATTTTAAAAATAGCACTGTAGCACTGTCCTCCCATTGCTCATTGATTTGCTTGAGTGGGGCACCAACTGTGAGACTTGTTGTTACTGTGTTTGGCATATCGAATATGTCACTGGTAGCTTGCCAGGCTCTGCCGTGCGGGCCAGATACTCTTGGTAGTTTGCTGGGCGCTCCAAGAGGGGTGGAAGAATTAAACCCGGGTCAGCCACATGCAAGGAAAACACCCTACCTGCTGTGCTATTACTCCAGCCCAATTTTAAAAATAAGGCAAATTATTTTATCTTTAATATTTTCATAATAATAAAATGGGCTGGAGCGATAGCACAGTGGTGGGGCATTTGCCTTGCACGCAGCCAACATGGCTGACCCGAGTTCGATTCCTCCGCCCCTCTTGGAGAGCCTGGCAAGCCCGCAAGGCAAAGCCTGGCAAGCTCCCCGTGACGTATTCGATATGCCAAACACACTAACAAGTCTCATGATGGAGACGTTACTGGGCCCGCTCGAGCAAATCGATGAACAACGGGAGGACCGTGAACCGTGAATAATAATAAAATGGTGAAACCTCAAAACCCTACCAATATCCAATGTTGTTTATGCCTGAATACACCTTGATTGATATTACCTCCCAAATCTCTAGGATCCATCTTCCTGTGTGCAGGTGCTATCTTATTCATATTTGTGTGCGTGGTTCCTAGCACAGTAGATGGGACATAACAAAAACAAAGCAAATGGTGCCAACTAAACAAGAAAGTGGTTTCAATATTTAGAAATGATTTTTATATCATATAATGTCATGTAACACATCTGAACTAGTCTTTTTTCTATGTGAACATCTGAGCAAAATTCAGTTGATCTGATTCTCTGAAGTTAATAAAGCAGGCCCTTCAAATGGTGCACCCAGAATAACAGCGGGAGGCAATATTTCTAAACTTAGCTATTAATGGAGACTTGCATGTCTGACTTGTTAGTCACTTGTTCATGTGCACCGATAGAGTGTACCCAAACAAATGTTACTAAATAGGTTTCCTGTTTGGAAATGGAATGCAACTAGTACAGTGGGAAAGAATAAGGAGATGTCTTCAAAATAAACACTAAAACACTAAAGCTGTGTCTCTAACATGAACCAAGGAAATTTTCTCAGTAATTTAAAAAGTTTCCTACCAGGTCTCTCCATTATAGCATGACTTTTGTTTTTGTTTCAAATATCAAGACTCCTCAAAACAACTGAGATTCACATTTAAACAAATGAAGAAACACAAATATATTTCTGTCCACCATTTAAGTGATCTACTTGCTATATGGATACTTAAGTTCCAGTTCACCTGTTGGTGTTTATTGAGCATTATATGGTTTTCAGTGGATATTTATTTATATTTAAAGATCTCCAGATTTTGAATTGAGATTATTTCCATGCCACCAGAAATAGAATCACATTTATTCTCTGATATTGCAAACCATTACCCCACTTCTCAACAAACAGTAAAATATTTAAAAGTGTCTTTTTGGGGCTGAAGAGATAGTATAGAACATAAGGTGCTCTTTTTACATGTAGTTGAGATGGGTTCAATCTCCAGCAATGTATATGGTCTCCTGAGCCTGCCATAGTAATCCTTGAAATCAGAACCATGAGAACAGCTCAGTGTGGCCCCGAAACAATCCCCTCCCCCCAAAAACAAATCCCTTATTATTTGTACTGATCATTTCTATGATCACATATGTACAAATAGTAAGAAACAACTATAATATGCAAAAATTATGCACCAAAATGCTTATCAGGGTATTATTTATTATAATAGAACACTGGAAACACAAATGATCAACAGAGGATTAATTTCCATAAATTATGGCACATTCATAGGATGAAGTAATGCTATCAATAAAATGTATACAAAAAGCTTTTTACAAAACAATGTTATATCATATCCATTTTTCCAACTATAAAATTAAAGATTTACAGGTGCTGATAGAGCATGACCTCATCTACATGAAAATGGACTGACAGAGACTAAAATGAAAATTGCCACAACCTCCAGGTTGCCACAGTTATGGGTAATCTATTCACTCATTTTCTTATATAATTCTTTTTTTACCACAAAGGTTCTTAACTTTTCTAAATAGGCAATTATTACTTTTTTATTACTAAAAAAAGTGTTAACATTTGACAAACTGCTTAAATATGCTTTACTATGATACAATTTTATTCTACTCAGTTGGTAAACAAACAAAACCCTTTTAAGGCCAATTTATCATAGAGAATACTGGGACATTTAAGCTGCACGTTCAGAATAAGAGACCTGTGACGTTGGTCCATCTGAAAGGTAACAACAGCACTGCTGTCTGCAAGCACAAATGCAAAGAGAAAGTCAGGAGAAGGGAGGGGAATGGAGAGACAGTCAGAACGCTTTCCTGGCAGTCACTTCATTATAGCATGACTTTATGTTTTTGTTTCAAATGTGAAGACTCAAAAAAAAAAAAACTGAGACTCACATTTAAGCAAATGAAGAAACACATATATATTTCTGTTCATCATCCTAGTCAACTGTTCACCATTAAGAAGCATACCTGAGAAAAGATTGATTTCTGAATATTTCTGACCTAAACTAACCAAATAAAAGTTAGTGCATGAATAAAGTCTGTTCAGTATTAATAAGCAGATGTGATTTTTAAAAGATTTGTAGAAAGCAGCATTTAACTGAGAAATAACAGCATCAAAATGGTCTTTCAAAATAAGGAAGAAGTCAGTGACATGGTCTGCTAATGGATCTCCAAAGTTCTAGAAAATGTCTAATTTCCTTTGCTTATAACAAGATTTAAAATCTGGACCTAGTGCCATAGTTTTATACAATGACTTTTATAGTCAACAAATTGATTACAATTTTTACAAAACAGAATGTATTTTTAGATAACTTTTCAGTCTTTCATTGGGGGGTTTGGATGCCAAAACCTTTGTTGGCTTCACATTATTTTATGGGACATTCTTAATATTCCATATGTGATTTAGATGTTGATTTTAATTGTCATGTTATTTTCATTGAGGGGAATCTGACTTCGAATAAATTAAGAGTAACTTGTGTGAGAACAACTTTCTATAAAAATACTACTCTTAAAAGTGAATGTTTTTCATTGTCTGTGACATAGTAATATTTAAAAATTCTAATTTTAATCATTTTTCAGCAAAAATCACCATTCTTTTAAAAATAATTTCATGAAAACATGACACCAATACTTTATCTATTTTGTGTCATCAAAGTTTGTGCATAATAACACCCAAAAGGAGAGAGAGAACAAAAGGGAATGCCCTGCCACAGAGGCAGGGTGGGATGAGGGGGATGGGGAGGTGGGAGGGATACTGGGACCAGTGGTGGTGGAAAATGGGCACTGGTGGAGGGATGGGAACTTGATCATTGTATAACTGAAATCCAAGCACAAAAATTTGTTAAGTCTACAACTGTACCTCATGGTGTTTCACTAATAAAAATTAAAAAATAAAAAAGACAAGACAAACTATAGAAGATACAAACAGAAAAAAATAAAAAATACCAATAAATGCAAATTGTACAATTAAAATAAATAAATAAATTTCAATAATAGTAATATTTTTATCCAAAGTCATTACTGTAATGTGCAAACTAATTGTATTTTCTATCTTCTAATAATTTTGATCGTTTGTAAATAAACTCTGTGTATTAATAAAAAAAAAGTTTGTGCACAAGTCTCATGCACCTAAAATGAGTGGTGCCACTATTACCACAGAAAGGTTGACCTTAAGTGTAGTAATTTAAATCCATATTTCAAACTGTCAACCACTATTTTCTAATGCAAACCATTACTATTTACCATTATAAATTACTCAGTCACAGTAAAGACAATAAAGAATTTAGAATTTTTATTAAAAGACACATTTTAGAGATAATGTTTTAACATGAAATTGGAAAAAACCTATAATAAATCATATATTCCTTGGATACTACAGTGTTGGATAAAAACCCAAGATTTTCTCTTAAAATACAAAACTTCCTTTACAATGTGGCCAAGATACATGATTATATATATCTTCATGTATCTCTACCGAAATATTTTTTTCACCTCTAAAAGGGCTGAATCAATCAATACCTATGATACAACAAACAATGCATGAAAATTCAAACTTATTTTCTTATTTATTTTTCAGTGAGCTGATGTAAATAATAAAGAAAAAGCATCTAGTGAATCTTCATGCACAAATGTGTGTGTATACATACACATATATGTGAGCACCAACATTTATACAAAGTAAACATTTAAAAATTTTAAGTAGCCAATTGAATTATGTACTATTAAAACAATTTTTAACATATGACATGTATATATATATATATATATATATTTAAATCAAGACATTCTTGTCATGTTCTTTAAATCTACAAATCAACCACTGGAGAAATCATTCAAAAATATACTCTGTAGTCGTAAACAGCAAACTTAAAACACCTCACAAAGTTTTGCTGAAAATAAATTTAATAATCTAATTTATTCATAATCATTATACAATTAATAGGTACTATGATACCCTCTAGTGGGGCAGGCAGGTCATACCTCTGATAATAACTTTCAATCGCTTCTGAAGTATGATGCTTGGCATGTGTTCTTTTAATATGTTTCTGAAACAAAACAAAAAGAACTTAATGCTGTGTCACAGATCAGGTTCAAGAGCAAGAACAACTTAATTCTTGTTCCCAACATCTAGCACAGAGGACAAATACTAATAGTTTGGAGATTTGGTGAGACTTTTTTCCTTCTTCTCTATGAACCTAAGCATTTTAATCTCCATTGCTTGGCTGGGATATCTTCAGTCTGTGTACCACTAGGTACAGTATGTATGAAAAAGCCAAGAGGGTCATAGTAATTGAATCTAAATAAGTTTGCTTAGGGTTGTCGAGGGCAGAGAAAAACTTGTTCTCTCTTTCAACCTTTGTATTAATTTTCCTCAATTCAATTCCATCTAAGTCCTCCGCACTCTAGTTTTACAATCCAATTGCCATTTTTAACCAGGAAGAACATTGCTTAAAAACAACTTATTTGAAAACTACAAAAAGTAATTCCATAGAGACTTGCCACTTGACTGACACCTGTCATCTCATGATAAATGACTCCATTTTCTGCCTCTCTTGCCTTCTGCCACTCCAGCAATGGTCATTTATCATCATCTCTGTCAGCAATGGAAAGCGGCACTGACAGTGCAAGTCAGCAAACATTTAGCACATGGAACCACGCAACACAGGGAAATTATTATTGTCAGAATAATAATGGTTTAGCATAATTTATTACAGGTCCACCAAATAAGCAAAGGCTAGATGTTATTAGACAGATGGATGGGTAGGCTTGGCAGGCCTCCACTGAGACGCAGGCGGTGCTTGATGTGGAAAGGAGAACATCCTCCAACCCAATCAGAGAGCTGGCAGTTCAATTACAAAGAAATAAAGGGACATTCATCATTCAATTAGGCACCTGTCAACCCTCACAAAGGAGAAAACTTCTAACCTGGTACTCCTGGGAGAAGATGCTCAGCAGAGTGGCCTGCGATTGACTGGAACAAATAAAAGAAGGACAAAGTTAATTACTGGAGTGCACAGCAAAGAAACAAAAGAGAAAGGAGCTTCAAAGGTAGGCCTGCTGCCCTGTAATCTAACAGAACATGAAAACAAGTGTGGAAAAGTTGTTCCAGATGAACACCTCAAACAAAGGCTTCCTGCTGCTAGGTCAAGGAGACAGAAAAAGGAAAAAGGGAAAGTATGGATGGTCTCAAAGCAAATGAGCCCGTGGTTTGGATTTTTTTCCAAACCAGAATGACTGTAAATCATATCTGTACTGTGCAGTCATGCTAACGGGTACCAAGAGAAGGCAAGATTTAGTTCTACTAGAAAAGAGAAAGAAAAATCTCACGAGCAGGAGGAAACATGCAATTCATTCCAGGGAAACATTCTGAGATGTATTCTATTTCCTCACAGGTATTCTCTTCTGCAAACTTCAGTCTTCACTAGAAGTGGCATAGTGACTACCGGATCACTCCCACTGATACCACCCTACTGGCATGCTTTGAAAATAGAAGCTTTCCCAGCAGGAAGCTAGGGTCCTGGGAGTGCAGCATTCCCAGACTGCCATAAGCCTTGTTCATCTAAGACTTCGCACTATGTTGGACACCTGGCCATGAGGCAACCTGGAAAACATTCTTCTCAAGTGGGTATTCTCCGCTTGCAATTGTTAACATTTAGAAACAGAATGGAATTTCTTCCCTCTAAAAATTAATCAATATCCTACAGCTATTCTTTTTGATTACCCTCTGTAGATAGATCTACGTGGTCATATCTTGAAAACAATTAATTATTTCTGAAATATTTCCTCCTAAATGCTATCTAAGCAAATTACAGTGTTAATAATTCGACTTTTATAGCACACCAAAGTGCTGTGAGTAATTAAAACGCATCTATTCATGAATGAAACCCCTTAAAGCTCATCACAGGTAATTTCACATAAACCGTGAAATAAAAACAATGAGACCATATTTCTTTACTCATTGTCACAGTATTGTTATCTGTTCTATTCTATCATAGACATGAGTTTTCAATCCCTCCCACTTTAGGCAGATTATAAGAGTAGGTTTAAAAAAAAACAGCTAGGTTTATCAAGAGAAACGGGTGATCATTAAATGAGTGTATTGGGGTCTGGAAAGACAACACAGAGGGTAAAGTCCATGACTTGAATACAGCTGCCCTGGTTAGATTCCCAGCACCAAACAGCTCCTTGAACTTTACAAGGCATAGCCCTGATCATTGACATGGAGACCCAAGCAATCCCCAGCACCAGAGGGTGTAAGCATCACATCCTCATGCCTCGCATTGAATCAATGGCCCAGAGGCTGAGAATTACTCCCAGAGTACTGCTTGGGAAGCTCCTCCCCCATTCCCGATGAGAATGTTTTAATAACCCCAAAGTATGAAAAACTAATGAATAGCATTATAAATTAGAACCAAGAGCTAGTACAGAGGTTAAGGTGCTTGCCTTGCTCCAATTTAATCTGAGTACCATATACCGTCCCCCAAGAACTGCCAGGAATGATTCCTGAGCACAGAGCCAGGAGTAAGTCCTGAGTACCACTGGATGTTGCCCAAAGTACAAACCAAAGAAATGTAAGTTTAAAATAGTCCATTTTTTTTTATCAATTTTTCTTTAAAAATAAAATCACCTTGAGAAGATCAAATTTCATACATACAAGGCTTCCTATTATACCTAATTCGCCTAAGCTTCACATGAAAATCACCTTCCCTATGAGGTCTGCTGACAATCATCTTCTAGGAAGGTCAATAAGTCCTTAGAAGTAAGCCCAAAATTTTAACAAACTATGGAATAAACTGATATGTTAGATATTTTTGTTAGAGAGAGCCCTCATTCTGAATACCTAATGTCCAGTATGGTGACCACAGACAGTAATACTATGCTATATACTTGAAAACTGCTAAGAGTACAGATGTTAAATGTGCTTAGCTCAGATAGAGAGACAGATACATAGAGAAATAGAATCTGATCTGATCTGATAATTATGTGAGAAAATGGCTGTATTTACTAACTTTATTGTGGTAATCATTTTATACTATATCATCATATGATCACATTGCACATCTTAAACCTAGTCATATTTCAATAGAGCTGTAAAAAAAATGAAACAAACCTAGACTCCTCCTCAGTGCACAGCAAAATACATGCGTGTTGAACATTTTAAGGTTGACAAAATACCAGTCACTGTGTGTCAAAAAATGCGAAGCAACGAAAAAGTTACTGACTTGTTACTGAAGCAACAGAAAACTAAGCTGTGACTAAAACTGAAGTGTAATAGGAGTTTCCCTGAAAGAAAGACTAAGAGAGAGTTGGAGAAATAATTCCAAGAATAAAGAGTTCAAAGTTAAAAAAAAAATTGATTGGGGTTTGAGAGTATTATAAAAACTAATGTCTTGAGCTAGGCAATTGTTTTTTCAGTTTAGGATTCTATTTGGCTAAAATCATGGACAGAGCCGATGGAAGCAACTCATTTTATCAGCATACAAAACGATTAGAGAGGTTTTAGCTTATACAACAATAGACTGCCCCCCATTCCCCTGGCCTCTGCAAAAAAAACCCCCAAACTTGACAAACCTAAAAAATAAAATCTTATTAACACAGTAACAACAGAAAGATGGAGCAGGTTCCAAAATGCTTTCAGCTTGGTTTACTAAAGAGGTCATGTAAAGTGAAATCAGAAAGACAAGGACAAGCAGAAAGACGGGTGTTCTTAATACTCTGTGGTTTATAGAATATACATATCCAGGGAATGGAAGGTATAAAATATGGGCAAAACATTGGCTCTAGGTTACTGAAATAAAAATTTCAAGGAAGGATAGAAGTGTGTGTGAGTGTGTGTGTGTGTGTGTGTGTGTGTGTGCATGTGTGTGTGCGTGTGTGGTAGTAGAGGGGTGGGGGGGCAAGAAGAAGAGGTTGGGGAATAATATGGGGTGAGGTTCAGGGGCCTTGGGCTTGTCTGTGGTACAGAGGCAAGATATATGTATATATGTGTATATATATATATATATATATACATATATATATATATATATATAAACCACTAGACTCAACAACAATGGAAGCATGGGATCCAAGCTACAATCATTAAATTTAAAAATATATCTGTCAGAGTCAGGTTTGGTTGGTTGAGAAGGAACCTGGAGTCATTGGTGGAGAGATATGGACACAAATGGTGGGATAGAGTTGGAACACTGTTGAAACTCTACTGTTAAACAATTTTGTACATCACAGTATCTATTACAAAAAAAAAATTTTAAGGTACTAAGAACTAAATGATGTCTCCTAGAAAGTTCGCTGTGAACTATCTATTCCTATAAATGGCAACCTGATAAAATCAGTCTAAACATGTCCCCACCACAGAAAGCAGGAAAGTAGTTCTATTGCAACTAAGCCAATGACTCAGTGTATGGTTATTTCATACTTTCTGTTCCTTTGTCAACTGATACCCAAGGAAGGGAGTGAGGGCACCCAAAGAGTGGAGCTATCTTATGATCTGAGTCACTGCACTGAAGAACTATCTCAGCCTCTCACCTTACACCAGTGTTTGATTTGATTGGCTAAGAACAGCAGTTATTATAGCATAAATTTGACACATACTAAATTCACAAGAACCATGGTTCCTTGCTAAGAAAGGAAAAGAGAAAATACTTCTGCGTAATTAAAAGATGGAACTTGAACACCACCATGAGTCGTCAGCAGTACTTAGAATTCACTCATCATCTACATCCCTACATGAATGTTGGAAAATATGGTATCAAAATTAAAAATTAAATGAGAACACAAACCAACTAACAGGACACTCTGAATATCTATATATACAAAAAGCAAAACTGAGAGCACTGTCAAGTACTCACATGATTGTTAGGGATCTAGCAAAGTAAATCACGACCTGATTAGCCACATATTTCAGAAGTACAATGGTTTTGAAGCATAAATGCATCACTAAGTGCATACTAAATCTACATTTTGAAACTGCAGTCACTTAACCTGCACAGACGCCTGGGATGTCGTATGAAAAACCTCTTCAAAACTCAGTTTTACTTTATCCCCCTTACTCTCCTCAGAGCAAGCTCCCACACTGGAGCTGTCTGAGAATAGGCAAGCATGTCAATGGGCCTCTAGAATGACCATGTAAAACTCGGTTGACCTGTGTGCCAAACAGCATATCAAGGAACAGCAACAATCATGTTGAGCAATGGGGAAACAAACTTCAGGACAAAGTTGAAACACTTAGGACACATGTACAGAAGATGGAAAGAACCCTGACTTTGAGGACACTATTGAATGGCTCAAGCAGCCAGGAACTGAGCAGCCTACATGCACTTCATGTAAGTAATCACACAATGTTCTTTTTTTTTTTCTCCTCCACCCTCTAAAAATAAGAAATAGAACTGCTAACATTTCAGTGTGCTTTTGGTCAGAAAGAGACAGGATGGAGGGAAAGCTCTGAGACAAGGTGTCCCTACATCACCATGCCGGGTATATAGGAAGCGATAGTTGCAAGGAGCTATCCATTTTCACACTTTCTAAGTCTCTCTTTAGCTGGCAGTCACAGTATCTAGTACCCTAAAATTTTTCCTTTTACTGTTTCACCAGATTGATATACCTAGAGATTAAGAAGTTATGTGTGAGTGTTCATACTTTTTTCCAAACAAATTTTAAACATCAACAAAATGCTATTTATCCAGCTTTATACTGTATTCTAGACTCCTCACTGACAGGTATATAAAAAGGCAACAAACCAGTTCCCCAGTCAGTATTTAAACTCAATGTGTGCCAAACCCATATAGCTAAGATACCCAGTAATTTAAAGGATATTAGGGAAATGAACATCAGAGGGTTGGATGAAAACTGCATCATCTAAGAGCAGAGCTTAACACAGGATCAGTTGCAATGCATCACTTATTAAGGGGAAAGTCTTATGTTCTCAGGTGGAAACCTGAAGCAAGAAGAAAATTAAGGAAGATTCTACCA